TTTTGCAGGAAAACGAAGTGATCTTCATGACGGAGGTGAGCCTCATGGGCTGGACAAATTCACATTCTCATTCAGGTCATTACAGATTTTGTTGACATGGCTAGTATTTAGCCCTCAGCCAATCAGTGTCAGAAAGCTTCACAAACAGTGAAATGCAGTATAGATAAGCATTTATTCGTTGGCTAGCAAAAAGTGAAACTGACAACACAAAGAGCTTTCCAAAATAATTGTGCTCACGTCTGAGCGACAGAATGTTATTAAGGCAGCAATATGAAGAACAAATAGACTGGAAATTTTGTGGTATGTAGAAGCATCATAACATTCTTTTTCTGTGTACCAAAAGCAAATAAGCCGTTATTTAAAATTCTACTCATATTCAATCCAACGTGCTGTTATGTTAGAATATTCCCTGGAAATGATCAGGATAATAGCTGCCTTTAGGGAGATGGCAAGGTTGCAAAGCTTGCATTTGCCAGTATTTTGTGTAATTGATTCTTCTTTTAGGCAGAGGAAACCAAAAGCTAGTATTCATTCACATGTTATGTTGGGCCCCTTGCAGAATTGCAGAAACGATGTAGCATGAGCCAGATCAGAGCTACACATTCAGCTGTGGCATGGTAGGAGAGCAATTGGCAGTGAAGAGGCAGCCAGCAGGAGATAAGTGCTCAATCCTTCTCTTTCCGCTGCTGTAACTCCACTTCCTAAACCTCTTTTCCCTAAGCTTCTTTTCTAGACCGGTGTTCACAATGCTGAAGAATTCATTGGTGAGGAGGGTTGCAGGAGGAAGCAAACAATGTGAAAATAGTTAAGAACTCTGTCTTCCTAGTTCTTATCCATTTCAAGTTGTTGTCTTGCTCAGGAGCATAGGAAACAACCACAGGGGGCAGTGGGTGCTTGGGCTCCCACAATAATATAATTGTGGGGGGCGGGCACCCACAAAGTTAATGAGAAAAGCTGGCAGGCAAATTTATTTATCCAATAAACAAACAAACAAACAAACAAACAAACAAACAAACAAACAGAATATTTTTATACCCTGCCCATGTGGCTGGGTTTCCTCAGCCACTCTGGACAGCTCCCAACAGAATATTAAAAGCATGAAACTTTAAAAACCTTCCCTAGATAGGGCTGCCTTTAGGTGTCTTCTAAAAGTCAGGTAGCTGTTTATTTCCAGAGCGCCACTACCATGAAGGTCTGCTTCCCTGCAATCTGACTTCTCACAGTGAGGGAACTGCCAGAAGGCCCTTGGAGCTGGACCTCAGTGTCTCGGCAGAATGATGGGGATGGAGACATTCCTTCAGGTATACAGCTCTGCCCTACACAACCAGAGATTGAGGCATCCTCTTCCGGAAGTGGGGCTTGGACATGGAAGCTGGCTGTGGAGAGGAGGAGGAAGAGGAGCTGCTGCAGCGTGGATATGCAAAACCTTTCAAAATCCACATGGCCAAAGCAGGCAGCAGAACTCAGTTTAATTTTGCCTTTGCACAGTAGGTTATTTTCCACACACACTATGACATGCCTCTCCAGTCTCCATTTAGGCAAGTAAGAGTTATTAGCAGAGTTCAAGGGAACATTCCAGTCCAGCAAAAACATTCGTATGAGGGACATGGCCTGGGATGTGTTCCAATGTCCAGACAGAGAAACCTGGAGGGCCTGTGGTATTCAGATGGGGGCAAAAATATATATAAAAAACCCTCCTCAAAAGTTCACCTACATCAAGCATGTACAGTGCACTCTATTCCTCCTCCACTGGAACATGCAAACTGGAACAGTAGCATGTAACAAACACAATAAATAGCCCTTAGTATCTAAAGCTTGTGATGAATAACAGCTCTGCACACCTGTTGTGTTCCAAGTTCAGATGCAGAGATCTTAGTCATGAATCTAGATGTCACTGGTCCACCCTCCTCCTCCCATAGGACTTGATAAACTTAAGTTTATCATCTTTCATCTTAATTTGTGCCATGCTTGGTCGCACAACTCAATAATGTTGACAAATCCAATTTTCTAAAAGGCTTCGGGTTGTTTGAGGGGAAATCATGATAGAAGGATCCGCTGTTGAGTGTCTGGCTTCCAATGGGACTTGAGATATGAGCAGACAGGAATGACAGACACACGTTGACCGAACCACTCCCTGTGTCATTATACTCTGGGTTCTTTTCCGAAGGGATAAACATTTGTTGTGGTCTTATTGATTGGTCTAGTTCTGAGCATGATAATTTAAGCCTGTCAAAGCACTATTCCTGCTCGGAAACCTCTTCTGGGCAATGCACCAAGTCTTGCAAAGTGGAAAGAGGTGCAATGTACGAAGGCAGTGGGACACCCCCTTACCATGGGTTATGGACTACAGCTACCTCCCAACTTACGTGGGGGTTATGTTCCAGAGATAGTGCAAGAAGCCGAAATTGCATATACTCAAAACGAGCCTTTTAAACCTACAAAAAGCACAGGGTAGCACTTACCGCAGTCTCCCAAGGCTGCTACAGACTCTCTATATACCTCCATACACTCCCCCAGGATGACTGCAGTGGCGGGTGGGATTGCCTACCTTCCCCTCCCCTTCCCACACCCTCACCCCCCTTTTTCCATCCAAGTGTGTAAAGCTGTGGTCCTGCAAGTTAAATCCACATAAGCTGTTACTCAACATTGTAAGTCAGCGGCTCTCAAAGTGTTTGATGTGCCATACAGGTGTGGCAAGAGAGAATAGAACTATGGTGGGAAGATTCAAGGACAATCAATATTATATTTCAGGAATGATTCATCTTCATGTATAGCTGCATTGTTTTATACTTTCTGGATATCCCATGATCACATTATAAAGCAGTTGTGTTCTACGTTATAAATCAAGCACTGCTAGGAGTTGTTTCGCTTTGTCTTCCAATGTATTGTCTTCCAATGTATTTCTTGTTAATTAAAAAATGGTGTGGCACAAGCACTATTTTTATTCTGAAAGTGTGGCTCAGGAGAAGAAAGTCTGAGAACTCCTGGTGCAAGTGATTGTTTAACCAACCCCATATTTCTGGCTAGCTGACCGGTTCTACAGAAAATGATGGCTGTTATAGTAGGGATGTCAGAGCACTCATGGTTTGTTTTCAGTTAACAAACCATGAAGCAGATTGTCTACTGTATGTCTATTCAACCTTCACTGCAGCACAGACTCCTGCATTGAAAGCTATTCTTAATTCTCTACAACAAATGTTTTTTAACATGCACACATTATATGTCAATAGAAACATAAATTGCTTTACATGTTCATTTATGTGGGAGTTCCGTTCTCAGCGCCCATCTGCTTTAGCGGAGCACGTATAATTGTGCCTCTCCCCATTTCACCTTATTCCACCCCCTGTTCCATCCCTTTTCTGGCCTCTTCCAGGTCCAAAAGGACCTGTATGTCAAAGATGGCACATCAATTGGACATGCCTAAAATGGTCGCCATCTGTATACAGATACCTTTTCTCTGTTTGGAAGTGTTCTTTGTTGCCAAAGGCACTTAACATACACTAAAGCTGCAATCCTAACCATTTGTATTCAGACGTAAATGCCACTGAATTCAGTGAGGCTTACTCTCTGACCTGTAGGGTTAAGATTTCACCTTCATGCTGCTTCCTTTTGTGAATTTTTAAAACTTGTGGAATGCATCACACATTATTGTTCTTTCCATGTGGAAACAAAGGATCTCTTTTGTTACCTGTGGATTGTATCTCTTCCCACCAGCTTGGGGACTGCCCATTTTAGACCACCTTAAATTCTCATTTTATAATGATTAATTTTCCTTTTCTCCCCCTGAAGTTTTCTTGACTTTTTACTAAACTATCTCTCCTTGATACCCGAGTGTGGGAAATGAGAAATGACAAGTGTATACTGAACTGTAAAATCAAGGTAGCAAATATAGCTGCAATCCTAACTCCACTTACCTAGCAGAAAGACCCACTGAATTCAATGGGGATTACTTCTGAGTAGAAATAGTTAGGTTTGCAGCCATAAATGGCTTTATGATGGACCATTAGCTAAGAGAGAACTTAACTGATTTGCAAATATCTGTTGATGGCCGAGCTATGTGTGTCTGTTGTGGGCTATATAAAAATACATTAAGATATGTACATTTCTGCATCAGCAAAGAATAAACAAAATAAACCAATTTCAGCAGAATGGAAAATACCAGATGAAAGTGCAAATGAATATTGGAATGCATTGAGTCATGTTTGTACACCCCTAGGGACTAAATATTAGCTATTTATATATGCCAAAGCCATAAACACCATTTTTAAAAATAAATAATCTTTGCTTGCACTGATAACAATGCTACAGTTGTTATGAGATATGCAAAAGTGTATGTGTGTATGCAAATTCATGTATTCAGGAGCAAACCTAAGATGTTGGCTACTTTGTTCTCTCCACTTCTACAGGAATCTGAAAAATACCATCTAAGTTGCAAATGTCTTTGAACAGATAATGGGATAATAGCCAACTAAACCAAATTCAGAACTACTCAGGCCTATTGAAATCGAAATACTTTATAGGTCTATTCAATAATTAAGTTAGATAGTATCCAACATCTTTAGAACTGGCCAATTTATGAGAATACCTCAAATGGGAGAAGAGTTTCTATTAATGGTTATTCCACCTTCTTATGTTTGTTTGCAGCTTGGTTATTATATTTATGCATTTATTTTTATAGAGGTCTTCAGGTTATATTTTGAATCTTACTTTCATTCCTATTTCCAGTTTGAAAGAATATGCTTTTGAGCTGGATGAACTATTGTCTTTTTTTTAAGGAATCTGTTTTGAATTCTGTTTGTTAGATGTGTGTGTGTGTTAGCGTAGTAAACTTTACAAAATAAACCTGGTAATTTTTATTGTTGATATAATCTGCTCTACATTTATCATTCCTCACCTAGTTGTACATTTGCAGTGGCCTCAAAAGAAGAAAGATGAAACACATCTATGCTACAATAAGCTATGTTTCTAGCACCTAGGCTTCCTCTTTTTGCTGCCTGCCAATGGTGCGGTGCAGATGGCGCTGCGCTGCTGATCTGCTTTCCAATGCTTCACATCACTGCCTGTGGGAAAGAGCCATGGAGGGAGCATCTGATTGGCTCTGTTGCTGCTCCTGCGCTGCACTGAGCTCACTGATGCCTTGTACCTCCCTCACATTGACCAGCGAGCACAGGGTTGGAAAGCCAGTTCAGCGACACAACCTCACCTGCACCACCTTGCCAGCATCTATTGCTGCTGCTCAGGCAGTCTCAGTTTTGTAGGGGTTTCTTTTCTATTCAGTTTCTAGCCCATTACGCTCAGTTCATCAGCCATGACCTCTAGTATGCCAAGGTCTTGATAATGCCTGCCACCCAGTATAGATGATCCAGGCAGGCTGGGAAAAGCAGAACTTTATAGAAGCCCCCCTGGGTATAATAATATAATAATAATAATAATTTATTATTTGTACCCCACCCATCTGGCTGGGTTTCCCCAGCCACTCTGGGCAGCTTCCACAGAGACCAAAAATACACTAAAATGTCACACATTAAAAACTTCCCTGAACACGGCTGCCTTAAGATGTCTTCTGAATGTCAGGTAGTTGTTTATCGCTTTGACATCTGATGGGAGGGCGTTCCACAGGGCAAGTGCCACTACCGAGAAGGCCCTCTGCCTGGTTCCCTGTAGCTTTGCTTCTCGCAATGAGGGAACCGCCAGAAGGCCCTCGGCGCTGGACCTCAGCGTCCGGGTAGAACGATGGGGGTGGAGACACTCCTTCAGGTATACTGGGCTGAGGCCATTTAGGGCTTTAAAGGTCAACACCAACACTTTGAATTGTGCTCGGAAACATACTGGGAGCCAACGTACTGGGTACCACTGAACGTTGCTCTCTTTAAAAGCCTGTGTCTCCTCAGACTTGCCAATTTTCATTCTATGGGCAAGAAGTGGGCGCTTAGGTGATGTGAACTTAAGATGTCAGAGTCCACAAAATAAAATAAAATAAAAGCATGTTCAATGTCCAGTTCAACAACTGATCTTTTTTTACCATGCGAGATGGGCAGTGAGGGTCAAAGGGAAATCAACGTGTAGATGATGAGATAAAAATGGGGTATGATGGTGCTGAAGCCAAGCAATGTTGACAGCCATGGCAGGGGGTTGACATCCTGCTCCCTTTGCAACAGCTCAACGCCAGGCCCCTTCAGCTCACAGGAAACATGCAAAGCTACCACACATCGCAACATGCCATTGCAAGTAAAGGCAAACCAGGAAGATAAGAGCTAGACAAGGAACCAAATCTGACAGGAGCCACCAAGGTCAGAGTGTAAGAAACATCAGAAGCTGAAAAGCCTATGAATTATAGCAGAGATCCAAATGCACCACAGCCATAAAGAAATGTTAAAGCATATGCAAATTCATTTTGCATATAGCCACCTAGATTCCTTCAGATACAGCTAAGGACTGAATTTTCAGTTATCTGCTCTCAACATCATGAGCGTATTAGCAGTGTGGAACTGATCCAGATAACCATTTTGTTCTTTATGGGCAGCATCCACCAAAGTATTTCTACAACTGCAAGGATTTTTTTGGTTGCTCAATGGAACTTCCCCTGCCTGTCCCCCACATTCCCCTCAATTTGTTCTGATCTCACTAATCCCTAGTTCAGGAAAGTTAGGAAGTTCAGCTAAATACATACACATTCAAACCACACTACAAGAAAAAGTCAGTGTTGGAATAAAATGATAGGGGGCTGTACTATGTGATTAATCCCCTTCAACATTCCTCAGATGAAAACAGCAACATTTCTCATTCCCACCTGCCAACTGACACTCCTTTTTTAATTTATTTAACATAATTGTTATAAAATATTGCAAATACATACATATATATTTCAAATAAGCACATATATATATGAAAAAAGGAACAAAAGAGAAAAAAGAAGAAAAGAAGAAAGAAGAAGAAATAAAGAGAAAAGAAGAAGACAAGTTGGAAGAATTTCTTTCAAGGTTATTCTATAAATATCTCAATATGAAAATAATAATAAAATTTCACTGATTAACTTCCATCGCTTACACTGCACTTCCTATATACATTTTAAGCAAGAGTGTATGGGAAAAATATGGAATAACAAATACAATCTCACACAAATATTCTAGTCAGTAAGTTTTCTAAATCTTTCATAAATTTATTCTAAACACAACTAATACCTTACATTTAATCCTTGTCTGCATAAACGGACACTCCTTGACCCCCATTCCCCACCCACCGCAGAGCATTTTCTTTCACACCAATGGGACACAGCACACACACTCTCTGTCATAATCTCATTGCTGAGCAACCATGTGCAGAGGTCAGTGGAGTGGGAAGCCAGCCAACCAGAAGAGTCTCTGAGGTGTACTTGCCTGGAGGCCGAGTCAGCATCCAAAGCCAGGTCCAGTCCTAGGAGCAGGCAAACCACAATCCATGTCTTCAGATGGTTCAGGAGTCAGGGAATCTGATGATCATGGGGGTCAAAATGTGCAGGAAGCAGTAAGGTAAGACCCGGAACTAAAAGCATTGTTACCATTGACTGCTGCTGGAAGCTCTGCTTAAGAAGGCTGAAGCTAGCTGGTTCTCATCAGCACCTTTTCCTCTGTGTCCTTGAAGGCTGATCAGCAGCAGGTGGAGTCACTCTCCCTTTTCCCCCTTCAGGCTGCTCTTCCACCGTCCTGAGAAAACCCCTTAATCCTGATTTTATTTTGTTTTATTCTTTGGTAGTTTGACAAAAAGAAAAACACACACCAACAAATAAATTTAGAAAGGGGCAAGATTAGACACAGACACACAAAGCATTTTTTAAATACAGTCATACCTTGGGTTACAGACGCTTTGGGTTGCACAATTTCAGGTTGCGCACCGCGCCTAACCCAGAAATACCAGAACTGGTTACTTCTGGGTTTCAGTGCGTGTGCATGCACAGAAGCGCAGAAGCGCGACCTGCATGTGTGCACACGCGGTGCTGCAGGTTGCGAATGTGCTTCCCGCTTGGATCATGTTTGCAACCTGAGCATCCACTGTATATAAAAAATCAAGACCTTGCTCTCTGCTATGTTTCATCTTTCTTCCCAGCCTGGGTGGCCCTGCCCTCTGCCTGCCCCTCAGAGCTGACATGTCATGCAGTGTTGTGCCTCAGGGACGGCAGCCTCTCCTCCTTCTCACCCGCTCTCCAGCAGTCACCACAAGCTGCCCAAGAAAGGAGGCCAGCAGTGGTGGCTATGAAGAGGCAACAGGCTGCTCCTTCATAGTTGCCACTGCTGCCACCGCCGTCGCTCAGGACAAGCACTGGATCAATTTTGGCTTTCACATATAATAAAGGCGATATGCCTTCACTACTTCTTCCCTATTGACAGTTCTGGCAGGTGAAATAGAGCCATTCCAGGATCAAATCAGAAGCTGGATGGCTTTCATAATTCTGGGACCGTCCCTGGAAAATTGGGACACTTGGAGGATATGATTTGGCCAAGTCACACCGACATTGAGCTCTGATGTTACAGCAACCACATAGTGTGGTTTCAGAGATGACCACAGGAAGCTGTTCTCTACCTTCAGGTAGGTAGCCATGTTAGTCTGATGCAGTCTAAATAAAAAAAATAAAAAAAATTGTCCAGTAGCACCTTAGAGACCAACTAAGTTTGTTCGTGCATGCACACGAAAGCTTATACCCAGAACAAACTTAGTTTGTCTCTAAGGTGCTACTGGACAATTTTATTTTATTTTAATGTTCTCTACCTTGTGAGACCCTAGTAACACCTACAACAACTGTCAATAGCTGGGTCTCCTTTAGGCCTACCTGGAATTGTTTGTGAGTGTACCTGGGACGTTCTGCATACAAAGCATATGCTATACCACTGAGCTAGTCATTTCCCATTAGCCAGCCATGAACTTTTGACTTCTACCCATGATGACGAAGAAAGCAACTGCCAGCAATGCAGGTGGGACAGACACCCAAACTAGTACTGGTTGTGCGATTGGTCTGAAAGATGCGTAAATCAACTGTGGTCCATGAAAGCCCATGCTGTTTCCCACTGTAACCATCTATTGTCTCAATTCTTCCTGCTGTTCAAATTACCTTCCATAGAACAAAATATATTTGTGAAAGAAACAAATACTTTCTTGTCTTTTCCCTTTAAACTTTTGCTTTCCACTCTAATTCCCCCCCTTACAACTTTACTCTTAGCAGTCCCCCACCCCCCGATGTTTTACTCACCACAATTCTGCTGTTAATTTCCCCTCATTGCTTCTCAGCTTTTCCTCTCCTGGATTTTCTTCTTCTTCCAACCTGTATTGCATCAACTGTACCCTAAGTCACAGGGGAAGCTGTGCTTCTGTTTTGTTTTCCATACCTATCCTGCAAATCTTTCTTAAACTAAAAAAGTCTCACTGTGCGAAAAACCTTTTTGAGCTTCATGCAGCTGCAGACGCTTTGTGTGTTTCCTCAATTAATAATTTTGGCTTTCAAATATAATAAAGGCGATATGCCTTTACTACTTCTTCCCTACCAACCTATTCATTGTTAGTAGTTGGCCACTTCAGCTGGTTTCCCCCTGGGGGAGCAGGAGGGGAAGGCAAGAACTCCATTAACCAGCCTTTCTTTCCATGTCAGAAAATTATGCCAAATGTTTATTGAAACTTGGATAGACAAGGCAAATTTATGCTTGGGCAACCAAAGCGATTTTGCCTTATTAGGAAGGCACTTTAGCTCCTGGGCTACTTCCAAAATTACCATGTGATTGAAGCTTTACTGCTTCTTTATTTTTGCATCCAAAATGTCCATATGTCAAGTGCATATATTCCAGCTGAGATAACAAGGCGGGGGGGGGGGAGGAATAAAACCAATTCATTCTTTCACAGAAAATAATGCAACAGTGACGTGCCCTGTTCCAGAGTTTTTAATATTTTAGACACCCCAGAGGTTTTATTGTGACATTGCCAAAAACAAATGAATGGAGGCCTTTTGTTAATTGCTCCATTGTACTCACTTTTTATCTGGGGAGTTGATCAGTTAAAAGGGGAAACGGTTGATGGATATATAGTGCAATCCTTTGCAGGACCAAGTAAGTCCCACTATATTCAGTCAAACTTACTCTCTCCACCAACTGTACATAGGGTTTCATCCTGCCAACTTCTGTCTCTTGAGGATTATATTACCTACTGTTGAAGCTTCCAGCGGGGCTGAGTATTCACAAAGCTATATTTTCTAGACTATATCTCATTGCAATTTGTGTATTTTCTCCTGATCTTGAAAGCATGTGCAAGGCTGAAGCAGGTGTTTCGTATTTCAATGGGACGTACATCATAAACATGCAGACTACATTTTAGTCTCATATGTCAGGGCTTAGACAGTATTGTAGATGATAAAAATTAAAATTATTATTTTTTCCTTAACTAAGCTGATGACAGTTATTTTTTGGATGAGGGGTTTTTATCCATTTCTGCAGTCACACAATCAATCAATCAATCAATCAGTAGCCGAACTGGGTTCCACACAGTCACAAAGACAAATTAAACTAAAAAGCCTCAAAAACAAAAATACAAAATAAATAGCAAAAACAAAAGCGCCAAACTTAATCTGTTACAGAAGTCCAATTGACTTCCGAAATGTTCAGAAACCAAGGCACAGCTTCTGATTGGTGCAGGCGCCCCAGAAACAACAGCCACATCAGACATTCGGCTTCCGAAAAACATTCAAAAACCAGAACACTTACTTCCGGGTTTTCGGAGTTTGAGAACCAAGGCATTTGAGAACCAAGATACCACTATATTCAAGCATGCTGAAGAGTTGCGGTGAGAACACCAAGACTGACCTCACTGATGTTGTGGGTGGGAGCAAGTGGATAGCCACAACAACCCAATTGGTAGTCCCTCGGTTGCTGGGGTAATTCTGGCTAATGGGATCGTTTCATGCATTAACTGAGGGACCTATATGTACCACTGCATGTTGCGTTGAGCTTCCTCTTTTTGCCTCGTGCATCGGACCACCCTCCGTATATTTAGGGTTCATTATGACATTGCTAGGGACGCGGGTGGCGCTGTGGGTAAAACCTCAGCGCCTAAGACTTGCCGATCGCATGGTCAGCGGTTCGAATCCCCGCGGCAAGGTGCGCTCCCGTCGTTCAGTCCCAGCGCCTGCCAACCTAGCAGTTTGAAAGCACCTCCGGGTGCAAGTAGATAAATAGGGACCGCTTACCAGCGGGAAGATAAACGGTGTTCCGTGTGCTGCGCTGGCTCGCCAGATGCAGCTTGTCACGCTGGCCACGTGACCCGGAAGTGTCTGCGGACAGCGCTGGCTCCCGGCCTATAGAGTGAGATGAGCGCACAACCCTAGAGTCTGGCAAGACTGGCCCGAACGGGCAGGGGTACCTTTACCTTTACTTTTTTATGACATTGCTATGCCGTTGTGGGCCATCTGTTCTTGGGACAGGGGCCCAGTAGGAATTTTCCCATTTTTTAAGAAGCTACATGAGACTCTGATGGACTATATGGATTACAATATGATTTTGATGGGAGACATGAATGGCATTGTGTCTACAAATATGGACAAGGCACAAAGACAGATAGTAACTAAGGATGGAAGACTACCAAAAACTTTCTTTGATATGACTGAAAATATGGGCTTAGTTGATATCTGGAGAACGAAGAACCCTCTGGGAAGAGAGGGAACTTTCTTTTCCGAGGCTAAAATGACATGGACAAGAATTGACCAAATTTAGGTAACTAGAGGTCTGGCTCCGAAGATTAGTAAAGTTGAAATCTGCCCTAAGACCTGCTCCGATCACAATGCAGTGAAGATGGAGATGAAATTGATGCCAGTTGGTTCCTTTAGATGGAGGATGAATAATGCTTTGTTTAGGAATGAAGAATTTATTAAGAAGGCCCAAAAAAACTTTGAGAGACTATTTTGAGATAAATATGAGCACTACTGTGGAAAAAAGAGTAATCTGGGATGCAAGTAAAGCAGTCATGAGAGGATTTTTGATACAACAGAACGCAATTAAGAAGAGAATGCAAAATGAGAAAAAAGACAAAATTTTGGAAAAAATAAAGGAAGGGGAGAAGAAATTGAGGGTGAAACCAAAGTCCCAGGAGATTTTGAAAGAGATAAAGTTATATCAAGTACAATACATGAAAATGATCAATCATGAAATAGAATGGAAGGTTAAACAGATGAGACAAAAGACATTTGAATCGGCAAATAAGTGTGGTAAATTGTTGGCCTGGCAAATGAAAAAAAGACTAAAACTTAATACCATTACGAACTTGGAAGTAGAAGGAAAGAATATACAAAATCCAGTGGAAATTAGAAAGTGCTTCCAGAGGTATTTTAAACAACTTTATACCCAGGAGAAGCAGAAAGAAATGGACATTGACAAATTTTTGAAAATGAATGGATTACAAAAAATTTCTCAAGAAAATAAATTAATGTTGAACTACAAAATAACGGAACAGGAAGTGGAAGGGGCCATTCAGAATATGCAGTTAGGTAAATCTCCAGGACCGGATGGATTGACTTCAAGATATTACAGATCTCTGAAAGAATGGATAATACAACCTTTAAAGGAAGTCTGTAACGAAATATTGGAAGGGAAAAGGGCACCAGAGTCGTGGAAGGAAGCTTACATCACACTTATACCGAAAACAGAGACTGAAAAGACACAACTTAAGAATTACCGCCCCATATCATTGCTTAATGTGGATTATAAAATTTTTGCAGATATTTTGGCTAAAAGATTAAAAAAGGTGTTAATGGAAGAAATTCATAAAGATCAAGCGGGCTTTCTCCCGGGCAGACACTTATCTGACAATGTTGGAATGAATTCAAATGAATTCACGACAGACGAGTGGCAGGTGTCATATGAGGCGTCTGCCGGGGCGAGCCCCGGGAACTCTCTTTTATTGAATATTACAAACATTGCCACAGGTGTGCTTGTGGCTGATTGGTTGATACAAACACAAAGCAACTTGTTGCTGATTGGTTAACATAAGTACAAGGCGGGAATTACATATTACATTAATCACTGATAGATTAAAGGCTGAGAAACGGAGCTGGAACTAGACAGGCATGAAGCCTCCTAATTAAATTATAACTAAAGATTGATATTGAAAGAACATAACATGAAAGAATACAACAATCACGTTCCGTAGATGTGGTCAGCAATGCATTAAGAACAGGTCAGGGTACACTGTTTCATGAACTCAATGGGAACTGTTCAGAACATTCTCAGACTCATGTGCAGAGGCAAAAACTTCCCAGCATGACAATATGAGGAATATAATTAATATTTTAGAAAAATTACAAGTGAAGATTAATACTAAAGCAGTTTTGATATTTGTGAATGCGGAGAAAGCTTTTGACAACATTTCTTGGAGTTTTATGAAGAAGAATTTATTGGGGATGGGGGTGGGTCAAGGTTTTGGAAACGGTATAAGTGCAATTTATTCAGAACAGAAGGCCAAATTAATTGTGAACAATGTAGTAACGGAAGATTTTAAGATTGAGAAAGGAACACGACAAGGTTGCCCAATCTCTCCATTGCTTTTTATATTGGTCTTGTAGGTTTTGTTAAATATGATTAGAAGGGACCAATTGGTGAAAGGTATACAAGTGGGAGCGAAACAGTACAAATTGAAAGCATTTGCTGATGATTTAGTATTGACTTTACAGGAGCCAGAATCTAGCACTAAAAGAGTATTAGAATTAATCCAAGAATTTGGCCAGGTGGCAGGTTTTAAGTTGAATAAGATGAAAACTAAGGTATTAGAAAAGAACTTAACAGAGATTGAGAGAGAGAAGTTCCAGAAGGAGACAGGACTGACACTGGTCAAGAAAGTGAAATATTTAGGGGTTAATATGACTGCTAAGAATGTGAATTTATTTAAGGATAATTATGAAAAATGTTGGACTGAAGTGAAAAAAGATCTAGAAATATGGTCAAATTTGAAGTTATCGTTGTTAGGCCGAATTGCTGTGATAAAAATGAATGTATTGCCAAGAATGCTGTTTTTGTTTCAAACACTGCAAATTTTGGACAAAATGGACTGTTTCAAGAAGTGGCAGAGAGATATCTCCAGATTTGTCTGGCAGGGCAAGAAGCCTCGTATAAAATTCAAGATATTAACTGATGCTAAAAAAAGAGGTGGATTTGCCCTGCCAGACTTAAAACTTTATTATGAATCAGCCGCTTTTTGTTGGCTGAGAGAATGGATGCTTCTTGAAAACACGGATGTTTTGGATTTGGAAGGTTTTAATAATGTATTTGGTTGGCATGCATATTTGTGGTATGATAAGGTTAAAGCACATAAAGCATTCAAAAACCATATTGTAAGAAAAGCACTGTTTAATGTCTGGATAAGATATAAGGATTTGTTAGAAAATAAAACCCCAAGATGGTTGTCACCAATGGAAGCAAAGGCTCAGAAAAAACTCAATATGGAGGCCAAATGGCTGAAGTGTTGGGAAGTTTTGGAACAAGAGGGTGACAGATTAAAATTGCAGAGTTTTGAAAAATTAAAAAACAGAGTACGAGACTGGCTCCATTATTATCAAATAATGGAGGCGTATAATTTGGATAAAAAAATTGGCTTCCAGATGGAAAAATCAAAGTTGGAAACAGAATTGTTAGACCCTAAAGTTAAGAATTTGTCAAGAATGTATAACTTGCTGTTGAAATGGAATACTCAAGATGAAATGGTGAAATCTGCTATGATTAAATGGGCACAAGATGTTGGACATAATATTATGATGGCTGACTGGGAACAGTTATGGACCACTGGTATGAAGTTCACGGCATGCAATGCCTTAAAAGAGAATTTAATGAAAATGATTTATAGGTGGTACATAACACCAGTCAAGCTTGCAAAAATCTATCATTTGCCCGATAATAAATGTTGGAAATGTAATGAAACTGAAGGTACGTTCTTTCACCTTTGGTGGACATGCCCAAAGATTAAGGCATTCTGGGAGATGATCTATAATGAAATGAAAAAGGTATAAAAATATACCTTTCGGAAGAAACCAGAGGCCTTTCTCCTGGGCATGGTCGGCCAATTGGTGCCGAAGAAAGATAGAACTTTTTTTATGTACGCTACAACAGCAGCAAGAATACTCATTGCAAAGTATTGGAAGACACAAGACCTACCCACCAGGGAAGAATGGCAGATGAAGCTGATGGACTACATGGAACTGGCGGAAATGACTGGCAGAATTCGAGACCAGGGAGAAGAGTCGGTGGAAGAAGATTGGAAAAAATTTAAAGTATACTTACAGAAACATTGTAAAATTAATGAGTGTTAGAAGGATGCGGGAATGAAGTTACATGGTTTTAGTAGAAATGCAACAAAGAATTAAGTAAAAGTTGATTGATAATGGGTTAAATTGAAAAAATTCAAGGTTAGACCGTTAAGATAAACTATAGCATAAAAATTGAAAAAGATGGGAAGAACTTGCTGAAATAGTGAATTGAATTAGAATACCAAAAAAGGGAGGTGTGAGGAAGTCGATGAAACAAGGAAAGGAAAGGAATACTGGATTTAGTGTGTTTTAGTTCTTTTTTGTCTGTATTTTTTGCTGTATTGATATGTTTTGTTATCGTTCTTTTTCTTTTTTATTGTTATTGTGTTTTTTTTCTTTTTCTTTCTTTCTTTTTCCTTCTTTTTTCTGTAATTCTTAAACTTTTAATAAATATTATTTTTTTAAAAAAAGGAATTTTCTCATTTGGCTGATTGGCAGGTGCCACTTGGGTTTTGTCTGCCGCGTACCAAATCGTCACAACTTTGTAAGGTTTGGTGGTTAGGCATTAGTTCAATGTGGAGGCGAGGGGAGGTCGTCACGCCTGCCCCTCCAATGCGTGAAAGGGTATTCTGTTAAAGGAATTCAGGGGCTCGCCTTGCTTTTGTCTGATCCCCTTCCAGGGGTTAGGGCCACACCAGAGCCCCTGGGAGCATTTGGGGTGAGCTTGAGTCTGCGCCTGGTCCAATGCTCCCCCACAATGTTTACCTGTACTGACCTCTGCCAGTGTCCAGTCGTCAATGCTGCCCTGCCAGTGCAACTAGTCAGGAACCAATGCCTAAGCCAGCAGTTCTCAACCTGTGGGTCCCCAGATGTTGTTGGACTACAACTTCCATCATCCCTGAGCTCTGGCCTTGCTAGCTAGGGGTGATGGGAGTTGTAGTTCAACAACATCTGGGGACCCACAGGTTGAGAAAGGCTGGCCTAAGCAAACCACTCACAATCTATAATCAATAAAGTTGTGGCCAAAATTATGCCAATAACCTTAAACTAAATTCTGTGTCAATTGTGTCTTTATTATGGGGGAGGTCTTGAGATCTTAACACGCAAAGAAAAATGTTTGTGTGTGTTTTCTAGGACTAATGACAAATTAAAATGGAGCCCCACCCCCACTTGCTGCCTGCTCCTATTTCACTTTCATTGTACATAACAAAGTTGAAATAATATAAATAATATAACCTTGGTACAATTAAATAGAACTTAATTTAATTGTACCCAGGTTATATTGTTTATATTATTTCTTAAATTTAGATCTTGCACACATATAAAACAGTATAATTAAAACTTCTGGAAAAAAGTTAAAAACAACATTCTAAAAAACACACAAAAACAACTCATTAAAAACAGACTGCATTTTATTGTCAGCTTAGGGCATCTACCCATTACAACATTTTGGATGTATATTCCCTTTGCACTGGTGGTAAAGGCTTGCCAAAATTGCTGGTGCTCAAAACTCCTTCTGGTTTCAGCTCAGTCGTAAAGCTCTTCCTACAAGCCGTGTGTCAGCTGCACCTCCTTGTTCCTGCTACAAAGAACACTACAACTGAAATAAAACAACTCGAAAAATGTTTCTCCAACTTTTCATTTCTGCACATGTTCTCAAGTTGTTCTTTTAAAGGAGTCAATATAAAAGGAGAACGTACCAAATTCTACTGACTTCATCGTGAGGAGTAACCATACCAATCACCAGACTGTAAAGTCAAATATTTTTCTGGGGGGTGAGGGGACTCCTGCACTGCTTGCAAACCTTCAGGCACAATCTGTTGATCGTTTCTTATAGATTGATGACTCTGTAGGGTATGACTCATGGGATGCAGTACTGAGTTGTTGAAATAACTTTCTCAAGGCCACAAAATGAATCCAAGGCAGATGTGGGGATTTTTAACCCAGGCCTCCCAAAAGCAAGCCCAATTTCACAATTCAATTTATGATAGCAAAATTCAGTTCCCAAGTAAGACAAACAACATTACTGCAGAAGTCCCATGCATATAATTGGCCAAGTAAACTCCAATACGAGGAACAGACTTGGCATATGGGAAAGGCTGGTTATATGATGTTGTATTGCATTGTGTTATGGTATATTCATGTACCACCTTTTGGCCTAAAGGCCAAACTACATTCAGTTGTGAACACCATATTATATTAAAAAAACACAACATGAGGAAGTCAGTGAAATATCTAGAAGTGAAATATCTAGAAGTGAAATAACAATGAAATATCTAGAAGCCAAGTTATGTGAGGAATGGTTGGAGGAATGTTGCTTGCTTAGCTGGAGAGGAGAAGAGTGAGGTGTGACATAAGAGCAGTTTTCATGAACAGCTGTCATGAAGAAGATGAAACAGACTTATTCTCTCTTACTCCAGAGGGAAAGAATAGAACCAATGTTTGGAAAGTTGCCGGGGGAGCAGATTTCAGCTAAGTATTAGAAGAAACACTGTTGAACAGTAGCACACAGTGCATTGGGAAAGCTACTGCATATCAACCTAAGCAAGCTGTGCTTCCTTTTTCAGGTAATTTGGCTATAAATTTTGATAGTATACAGATAATGGAACAAACTTTAGTCGTGTCCGACTCTTTGTGACCCCATGGACTAGAGCACACCAGGCACTCCTGTCTTCCACTGCCTCCTGCAGTTTGATCAAACTTATGCTGGTAGCTTCACGAACACTGTCCAACCATCTCGTCCTCCGTCATCCCCTTCTCCTTGTGCCCTCAATCTTTCCCAACATCAGGGTCTTTTCCAGGGAGTCTTCTCTTCTCATGAGGTGGCCAAAGTATTGGAGCCTCAGCTTCAGGATCTCTCCTTCCAGTGAGCACTCAGGGCTGATTTCCTTCAGAATGGATAGGTTTGATCTTCTTGCAGTCCATGGGACTCTCAAGAGTCTCCTCCAGCGCTATAATTCAAAAGCATCAATTCTTCGGCGATCAGCCTTCTTTATGGTCAAGCTCTCACTTCCATACATCACTACTGGGAAAACCATAGCTTTAACTATACGGACCTTTGTTGGCAAGGTGGTGTCTCTGCATTTTAAGATGCTGTCTAGGTTTGTCATTGCTTTTCTCCCAAGAAGCAGGCGTCTTTTAATTTCGTGACTTCTGTCACCATCTGCAGTGATCATGGAGCCCAAGACATGCATTACATTGTTGCATTACGTTCTCCATTAAATTATAATACTGTATTTATCACTGTAAAGTAACATCAGACGTGTTAGTCTGGCTGTGTTCTGACTGTTCTGCACACATACACCATCAGAAGTATATCTGTTTTTTGCTATGGCCCTTTGTCTCTTGCTATGTTGTGCATCTGGTAAAGAGGTAAAATTCCAGCATTTGCCATGAAGTGGGATATAGCAATGCAAAGCTGTTGTTTTTTTAGTGTGGTGTCTGCCCTTGAAATTTTATCGGTATCTTCCAGAAACAGAGCTTGTGCGTGTTCCAATAAAGGACTGGATGGCTGATCTTGCATAGAGATAGATTTATCATGACATGGAGGTGAGCCTGCAATACCATGTGCTTTTCAGATTCGATTTCAATGTCTTTCTTCACTGATATCCGACACCAGAAAGGTACCATTTACCTTCATATTTTCACAATTTAATTAGTTGTTAATATACTGGGATAGGAGGAGATGAAACATCAGTGCAGAAGACAGTGTCATCATTCAAGTTCCAACTTTCTATACACAAAAAGCACCTGGAACCAAAAGAAAAAGAAAACCCACCTTAAAGAAAATCAACTGATTTTTACATGATCCAGTGGTGCAGGTTTAAGTCTCTGTGTTTGGTTTGTGAAAATCAAAAAGAGTTGGGAGAACATCCCAAGAAATCTCTTGGTTTTTGCTACTGGCATGGTTCCCTGTCCCAGCTACTGTGAAAGTCTTGGGATTTAAAACCAACCAACCGTTTGCAACAAAAACTGATCCAGGAAAGCTGCCTTAAGTGTGGTATTCAGGTGCAATACATATTTTACAGAGCAATCCATATCTGCTTTTCACCAGGCTGGAGGGAGGGGGAGTGAACTTGGTGAAGGAACTCGAAACTGCCAATCTTTCACCAGCCAGCACCTGCTGAGTGATGCCAGGGCAGATCTCCTCCTGCCAACTCCAAAACAGGGCTTGCTGGGTTGGCCTGGAGTCTATTGTACTGTGAGTCAGTCCTGCTGCCATCAGATGATGGTGTCAGGCCTGATCTGGGTCCAATCACTGCTCTAGCTTCCAGCTGATGTCACAATCTGCCTGCCACTCCACCTTCTACCATGACCATAGTGTATAGCATGGCTGTGGATGTGGTTAGAAAAACATCCCCCTCACAAAAAACCCTATTTGTTTTATGCTTTTCAGGAATCTGTGCTAGTGACATAGCTACTCCCCTCTACACTCCAGATTCGGCATCAGCCATTGTTCATAGCTCTACTAAAATGTCCTATATTTAATAATATAATTAAAGATCTACATCAATTCTACCTCTTTTGTTTCTCTTATCTAAGGTGCAGGTGTGTCATTTACATTGCAGATTAATATTTGCTATAGTGGATTGTCAATCTGAGTTTCTGTCATTCATCAACACCGCCTCGGGCAATCTTCAACGGGTTCTTTCCTTAGCAGGTGAGATTCTGCCTGCTATGTCACACTGACTGTTAAGACAGTAGAAATGGAATAGTAATTGGGCAACAACTTCCTCCTCAGATAGGTAGACGTGGTTCCGACTTTTTGCACTTTCATATATGGGACATAACTTTGGGAAGACTTTTTAATATATAGCACTGAGTCTTCAAAACCCATTTACCCTAAGAAACATATAAACAGCTGAGCTCTATGCATGTTTATTCAACAGCAAGTTCCAATGAGCTTAATAAGAATTATTCTTATTATGAGAATGTGCTGAAGATTTCAGCCTTATCTCTCCCCCCCCCCCATTGCATATTGCCCCCCTATTCAGAAAGTTGTGGCTGTCAAGTGTTTCTTTCCCCGGAGTCTGCTCCTGGGTACTTCATTTGAGTGGACCCCATATGGCAGTTGCAGTCTTAGCCTCCATGAATATTTTTATTGAAATAGGTAAAGGTAAAGGGACCCCTGACCGTTAGGTCCAGTCGTGGCCGACTCTGGGGTTGCGGCGCTCAACTCGCTTTATTGGCTGAGGGAGCCGGCGTACAGCTTCTAGGTCATGTGGCCAGCATGACAAAGCCGCTTCTGGCGAACCAGAGCAGGACATGGAAACGCCATTTACCTTCCCGCCGGAGCGGTACCTATTCATCTACTTGCACTTTTGGCGTGCTTTTGAACTGCTAGCTTGGCAGGAGCAGGGACCGAGCAACGGGAGCGCACCCCGTCGCGGGGATTCGAACCGCTGACCTTCTGATTGGCAAGTCCTAGGCTCTGTGGTGTTGGTAAAAAATAGTGCCCCCCCAAAAAAAACACACACACCTTACTTCCACTACTACCATGGCTATTGAGTGGATTGTACCAAAGGTTCCGGCTCTGGAAATTTATTCTCATTGAACATAGCACTTTCGAGTCAGTGATTTTATTCAGGGATGTTGCAAGAGAGAAAAGGGTTCAAGTTCTGCTTGTGAAAAATCACTCCCATTGTGTTCCATGTGCTTCCTCTCAAGGAAGTATGCACAGGGCTGCATTTGTCTTGTTCACACATTAATATTATTATTGTTCTTCTCGTCATTAAATGCATTGCCTGCCCTTCTCCAGAAGGTCCCCGGGTGAACCACCACTGTTTAAAATTTAGAATTAAAAACAGAACATATTACATTCACAAGAATAAGGTGGGCCCCTGAAATCACATATCTCAGTTGTCAAAAGCAAAGGTAAAGAGATGTGTCTTCAGCATTGACCAAAGGTTGTACAGTGAAGAAGTCAGATACAGTAGAACCTCGAGTTGCAGACGTAATCATGGAGGAACGTCTGCAACTCGAAGCGTTTGCATACAGAAGAGCGTGCCTGTGGACGTGCGACTGGCAAACCTGGAAGTAACCCATTCCGGTACTTCCGGGTTGCCACGGGACGCAACTTGAAAAGACGTAACCTGAAGTGGACGCAACATGAGGTATGACTGTACAGCTTTGTAGGGAGAGCATTCCACAGTTACGGGGTTGCTACTACCACATATCTTCTGAGGGAGGTGAAACTACCAAGAGGGCCTCCTCTGCTGATGTTAATACCTGAGGGGGTCTGTCAGGAAAGAGGGAGTCTTTGAGATACTTAGGGCCTAGGTCAGTTGAGAGTGTTGAATGTGAGCACCATGAACTGGGCCCATATTATCCTGAACACAGGTACAAGCTACACATCTATAAAGGTTTGTGTGAAAGAGTGCACAGTTGTTGTATCTGTGTACACTCACTGAACGTAGCACGTGAACACCCCTGTTGTTATCTCACAAACAAAAGTGCGATGGGTGTTTGGTTCCAAGGGATTGCACTATACAAAGGGGGGGGGGGGGAAGAAGTTAACGAAAAGCACAATCCAAGCTATTTGGAAGCTATGAAAATATTCACTGTAGCCCTGAGTCAAGCACTCCTTCCAACTTTATTTAAGAGTATTTTTATATTGAATTCTAATCACCATGTTTCTCACCTCCTAACCTGCTTGGGAAATAAATAGCATGCTTCCAAAGCACAGGCACCGAGAAAAATTTGCCAATTGTCCATTAGAGGATTATACTTTTGTAGTAGCTGTCATTAGTTGCCCTGTTCTCTGGTTCCTTTCTAAGTGATGTGACATTTCAAAATTGATAGATTGTTGTGAGCACATGTATGCACCATGTTGCCTTGGTTCGTTTGTTTTCAAGCATTACCGAAAAGAAAGAGCTTGATTATTATTAGTTTTTTAGTCTTTTTTTATTTCTGCGTGCCTACAAAATAGCCCAATAACAAACATTAGTACAGATGGAAAGCCTCAGAACCATTCTTCACAAATGAATGGATTCTGATTATGGGAGCTTGGCTGTTTTGGGAACAATACAGCAGGTTTATGAAAGATTATGTTGCCTCAGTTGTCTGTGAAGTTTTGGCATTTGGTCCTGATTCTGTTTTTTGTTTGTTTTTGCCTAAGCCTTTGGAGAGCTTATTTGAACAGGAAGCCTTCCATGGCACCACAGCCTTATTGGGCCTATTGATTTATGACTTGCCTTTCTGATTTGAGACTAGTATACACTTGCAGTAGAATGAGATGGTAGAATGGACTGTGATTGTTCAGACTAGGTGGGGTCTTGCCACATTTTAAAACGATCCCTGCTGTAAAAATGAGTATCCAATCTGCCTGCAAGTTGAAGCAACCACAGAAGGGAAAATGATGTAGTGCAACTTTTCCCCTGATGTGCTTCTTTCTAATTGTCAGAATATTGTTACATGGTGGAACATTTTCTTTTAAAATAATAATAATATGTGAACCCTGTTTTCAATCTGGCTAGTTTAGTCCACTACCTCATTCTGCTACGCGTGTAAAGCAGTTCTAAGGCTAAATGATCAATGTATTTATTTCATTTGTAGCTGGCCTCCTCCACAGGGAAGTGTTGCCACTGCTATAACAAACGAATTGTGTTAGAACTGTTCAGTGGAATCAGTAATCTGGACCTTGTGTAGATATATATGAGCTTTCCCCACCAAGAATGAGTTTCAAAGTTTTACTGCATAACAGTCTTAAATACTAGTTACATAACATGAACAAAATAACAGAGTAACATATTGCAAACAAGTAGTGTGGTTCAGTCCTTTAACTGCCTTATGCAGTTTTGAAAACTTTCTTCTCTCTGGTCCCAGAGAGAGATCCTAAGCTCGTTCATCATTACAGGGAGTTGCATTGAGAGTTGGAGTCGAACTATATTTGGATGGTCATATGTTCTCCATTCTTGATATATAATCATAACCATATATTTTTCTGTTGGATGGTTGATCTCCTCTCTCTGATCCCAGAGAGAGATCCTAAGCTTGTACATCATTGCAGTTATCCTCTGCTACAACTCCTGTTACTAGGCACCTCTGACTTCTCAGGTTTCATCTCCTGCTGTGAGATCTGCAGCTTGGGTTTCCTGTGATGTGTGGTCAGAAACTCACTAAAATGGAAACACACCTGCTTTTCGCTTTCACCCAGAGTGAAACCTCTTGCTTAAGGTTAACTTCTCTTTACAGCAATCCAAATACAGTGGTACCTCGGATTACATATGCTTCAGGTTACAGACTCCACTAACCCAGAAATAGTACCTCGAGTTAAGAACTTTGCTTCAGGATGAGAACAGAAATCGTGCTCCGGCGGCGTGGCGGCAGCAGGAAGCCCCATTAGCTAAAGTGGTGCTTCAAGTTAAGAACGGACCTCCGGAATGAATTAAGTACTTAACCCGAGGTACCACTGTACAATGCATTGAAATATAGCAATTTATGTACTTGCAATTTTAACAGATTGGTCTCAACCCCAGCCACATCACAGGATTGGCAGATATTCAGTTTTTCATCCCTTGTAACCCTTAGCATCTTCCTCTTTCCCCCCTTTAACTGTAGATCATAAGTACCTTTGGCTATGTTGTTTCCCTGCGTCATTTTGTAAAGTATCATGTGCACTAAAAGAACCATATATATTGGTGTGAGGAACCTGTGGAACCCCCACCCACCCCTTCTGGTTTTGCTGGACTAAAATTCCCATTATTCCACCATGCTGGCTGGTGTTGATGAGAGTTCAAGTCCAACTACATTTAGATGGCCATGTGTTCTCCACCCTTGATATATCACTATAACCATATATTTTTATGTTGGATGGTCAGTCTCTCGCCACAGTGATTGATATTTGTACAGCCGCCATCAGCTAAGGTCCTTACTTATATGAGATATAAACCCAATCTCAGACTGGCACACATGTTTGCATGCAAATGCATCTACTGTACATTGGCATAAGCATCAGAGTTCACAGTGCTAACCTTAACAATGTTTCCTCTCCTGGATATTTGTATTTCTTTGTAACACATATATTGCAACTGCAGGTTTACAGAAGGCCTCCACGTGCCAGTGCAGATGTTCCCCAGTAAGGATTTTGATAAAATTCGCGTCTTTCAAAAAGAAGTTCTCTACTCCCAGTTTAAAATGCAAATGGTTAAAATAGAAATATCCCAGCTGATTATAGATGGCATTGATATAGCTGATTATAGATAGCTATAAAGAAGTGAGGCAAGGACAGTGACAGGGTAGATATTTTTTTCCTCAGTGATAAGATAAACCTGCAGGCGAGCCTACCAAACACAAAACCCACCTTTGTCAGACACTGCATAATCCCACACAATACTGCTAGAGCACGACTTTGGTGACAGAATTTCTGGATTCAATAGAGAGATGAACACTATGCTGATGACCTTGTATTGGTTAGTGCAAAGTTTCCATCGTTTTGTGTGTCCAAAAGTTCTGTTTTCTGCATAAATGTGGAAAATGTGGCAGCAAAAGCAAAGCAACCCACAATTTTGCTAAATATCCTCAAATGTGTGATCAATGAGGACACAGACCACCAACCTAGACAGCTTTAAAGGGGGTTTAGAAAAATCCATTGAGGGTGAGGTTATCACAGGTCCTGATGATTCCAATATCACAACCAGTATGCCTCCGAATGCCAGTTGCTGAAATTGTGAGTGGGAGGTGCTCATGATATGCGTTCTGGGTTTGTTCCCCATGAGGACATCATGTTGGGCTAGGTAGGTCTTTGGTTTGATCCAGCAAAACTCTTCTTAGGTTTTTATGATCTCTCCAGGGCCAGATTTAGGTTTGATGAGGCCCTAAGCTCCTAAAGGTAATGGGGCCCTTTATATGTCCCCCTGTCCTTTGTTAACAAATTGTCGCTGTTTTTTGTGTTGAATATATGCTACAGTAAATGGTAATTTATGGACCTAATAGGTATCTAAAGCCATTTGCACATAACAAAATATGTATTTTATCAAAGTAATTGTGGAACTGAAATACAATTAAGAAGAAGTATATTAATAGTGAAACACAATTAAGAAGAGGTACCGATATATTAATAGTGAAATAAATATTAAGCTCTGACTTAAAATGATTTTTTATTCATAACAAACTTAATAATGCAAACACATTGGCATTTGGCAATAACAAAAGTTCCTTTAGAAACACAATTTACAAAGACTCATAATCTAGTCTCTCAAAACTTGCTATAACGTGAAATAATAATAGGTGTAAATATATGATGCAAACTACTAATCATTATAAATAGCAGAATGTAGGCACCCTATATATAGAAATAAGCAAACCAGTGATATTTTAAGGAGCAGGCTAGCAGGCAGGGCCCATTACTTACATCATAGGAGCCTACACAACACAAAACACTGTTGCTGTTTGTAGGTTTTATTTTATTTGATTTTTATCTTATATTTTGGAAATGTACATCCAGTTTTTTTTTCCTTTAGTTTTTTTTGGGGCCCCCAAGAGAGTGGGGCCCTAAGCTATAGCTTGTTTAGCTTATATGTAGATCTGGCACTGGATCTCTCTCAAAAACTGTTCTGATAGCCTGTCTCCAATTGATCATAAATCTGATGCATACATATTTGTTAAAAACCTGAAATGGAAATATGGCTGATAAATACGACACAGTGGAATGGGTCCGTAAGACAAATTTGCACAGTGTCATGGTTATAACCCCCCCCCATTTTTGTTTTTTGTTTTGTTGGGTTGGGATCAACACACTTCATTATCTTCACCATCATAAAAACAAGCAAGCACAGCAATCATATACGGACAGCATGGTGTGCCACAGACCTTCACAATTTATTGTGTCAAAGGACGTTGTCTAATCCACAGAAGTTCGTAGTCCACTCACAGGCTCCTTCTTGAATTTTTCGCATTGCAGAAATAATGTCCAATAAAAACTATTTTCAGTGATATAGTGCTATATTTCACCTTACAGTCCTTTGTAGCTTGTAGCTGAGCTGTGTTTGTAGCTGAGCTAGACAAACGTAGAAATAGATTATGTCGATCACTGTCAAAGTTAGATGAAATAATTGTATCATATAATAATTCATTGGCAAAAGACTTGTGTCACCTACTAATCAATATCCAAGGTAAGTAGCTAACCCAGGGGTCAGCAAACATTTTCAGCAGGGGTCCAGTCCACTGTCCCTCAGACCTTGTGGGGGGAATGGACTGTATTTTAATAAAAGCACACATTCTACTCATGTAAAAACACCAGGCAGGCCCCACAAATAACCCAGAGATGCATTTTAAATAAAAGGACACATTCTACTCATGGACCGTCCGTGGGCTGGATTGAGAAGGCGATTGGGCTGAATCCAGCCCCCGCGCCTTAGTTTGCCTACCCATCAGCTAACCTGTTCCAAAAAAACAGATGGCATCCAATCCTATCATGCATGAAAATCTCCTTGTGTTTGACTAATGGTCTTGTGAATATGGATATCTGAGGAATTCAGTCTTTGAAGATTCCAATATGAACTGACCTTATCACCAGCTCCTGAACTAATGTGCAGATCAGAAAGGAGCTGTCCACTGAATTTTGCATTCCTGCAAATGTTGTCTCACAGCCCCTAGCTTGAAAAATGTCGAAAAAGTATCTTTTTTAAAAGCATGTTTTGAGGCGAAAAATTAAATTGAAAAAAGAAACAGTTTAAAAATGTGTATTTTGAGAGAATACACTGGGGGGGGGACTGGGTGCAAATTAATGTGACGATGTGATGTAAACACATTTGAAAGCGACATGGACTGAAAATAGATTGATTTGTTCATCCCTGCATGTAAGCTAACCCACAAGGAAGATGTTTTCACTCTGTGACAATTAGCTATTCTGGTCAGTAATAATTTATCTGTAATTTCTCAGCTGAGTTGCCACCTGAATGAACCATTACTTCATTTCTGGTAAGTTAGACCCTCTATTACAAATCTTCAGGTTACTATTCCGTGTTTATCAATTTGCTCAATGCACAAAAATGATAATGTGTGCTGTGTATCGAAGAGTGCCTAGGCTATTAGGAAGAGATGAAATCCTTTTTAGAAACGCCAACAACTACTGCTTTAAATTGGAATGAATTTCTACAGGGCACGCATATAAGTTAAGCTAAAGTTAATTTAGTTTGGCAGATAGAATATGTAGGAAAATCATCTAAATTTAAGTTTGCATTAATGCAGTTCTTCAAACTTTGTGCATAAAAGTATGAATAAGGTAGGAATTTTAGTATAGGGCTGTTCCTGTGTTCTTTGGCCATTGGGGGGAACAGATGTATGGACACCACCCACAAAATCTCCATCACTGCCAAGTCCAGCACCTGTGTTGAGTGCTAAGATCCAATGTGAAGCTTCTTAAGTGCATTTGGTTCAGTGCACTTAGAAGCCTTCTTTTGTGTCAGAACCCATAGGCCCCTGACAGAACCATCAATGACCAGAGAGAGATGTTGTGGCAGCTCCTCCCCAACCTTTCCCTGGTTTAAAAAAAGATCTGTGTGCTCTGAGGGAAGGCGGAACTGATGGGGCAGCCATTTCCAGACCATGAATGGACCTGAGGGAAAGGAGAAACAAGGGAGCCCAGGCCAGAGAACTTGTGTCATCAGCTCCTGGTTGGCCTGATTTTTCTTCTTCTTTCTTTCTGGAAATAAGTAACATGGAAATGAGCACTAAACTCTAGCTAGATTCCACTATATTTGAAGAAGGCTTTACATTGTGTGAAAGATCACATTGCGAGCAAAAATTAACTGGTGAGCAAACATCAGGAAGATGGAATAAAGCACTGTCTGTGTGCAACCTAACTATTTTTTATGAGCTGGAAAAAACAACACATACTGATGTTTTCCTATCATGGAAAGTCATTAACAATAGCTTACCATGACTGAAAAATATACAAGTGCACTACTAACTCACTCCTGTCTCACTCCACTCTTCCTTGAGTCAAGTATAAGTCATAAATCTTAGCTTACTATGGTATGGAAGCTAATACTCATGGTTTGCTTCTCTCCAGTCAAACCACAATGCTAAACCAATGGGTTTTCTTGGTTCACCAAGGGCCAGTTCATATGACACAATAAACCAAAGCCAATAAAAGGGGTGGAATGGCAAAACACAAAGGAAGTGATACAGTGATGCTGCTACTTCATGGTAAGCCATGGTTTATTTGATGTGCAAGTAAGGTGTTAATAAGTGGATGTGTGCCACAGACTAAAAACAGATCAAAAATAATGAATGGTGTGGTTTCGATAAGATTCTCTTTTGGAAAACGCACAGGTGGTTGCTCTACTTATGCTGGGTCAGTTTTAGACTAATCTTCCTCCATTTTCTTCTCAGTATATCTCCCCCCCCCCACACACTTTGTTATTATTTACTTAGCGTCCAGTACTGGGAAATGTGAAACCTCTGGAACATTTTGCTATCTATGGCATCCCTTGGGCATTTCTCCTGAGAAGGAATCTCCAAATTCACCAAGAATTTCACTCTGGCAAAATTTAGGGACTATCTAGAGATGTGGAGGCATCCCTCCATGGACTTTTAGACATTATGCAGTCACGCATCTCAGGCTTCCCTCAAAAGCCTTGCATGTTTTATCAGAGGAAGAGTTTCCAAATCTGGTTCAGAGTTTGATCTCTGAGTGACGCCTTTCATGGTCTCTTCTGCACTGGCAGTGGGCTTATGCAGGTCATCTCCTGTCTGCAGTCACCCTTTGTTCCCTCTTGCAATAAGATCAGCTTGCCCCACTTGTGCTATTTCTAGTGTTGGCAACTGTGTTTCACCCCAGAATTGAACAGCTGTCCTTTAGAGTACTAGGATAAGCCCCTAAGGGACTAGTAATGACATCAGCCATTTCCTAAATAGCCGGAACACAGCTCTGTTGGAGGGAAGCATTATAGAGATGAATAATCACTAGTGACAAATCCTCGCAATAGTATTTCAACATCTAATTAGGGATGTTGTCACAGCTAGTGGCAGTTCTTCTTTGTAAAGCTTGCATGAGAAGTATCTCCTCTCTCTTCAGTACAAGGCACTGTGGCTGACAGACCAGAAGCAGGTGATGTCTCAGGGGTCAGTGTGCAGCTGCCCAGAACAGTGAAGGAATGATTAAACGTCTTCCGTCTCGGTGGGAAGGATGTTCTCCGACTAATCCTAGTGAGATTTTGCCCTGTCATTCTTTCATTATATAAAAAAAGCAGACTTGTGTACATGATATCTTATCTCTAAAATGGAAAGATCCAATATTACAATGGTAGCTTGCTTGTCTGTTTTTGCATTTTCAATAGAGATTTCAACATATCGTTGCCGGGAAAACTTGGGGAGCGAACAAATGAGCCAAGAGGGAATAATCAGTTCCATCTATATTATCATTCCTCCCTCACAATCTGAGCAGCTTACTTAGAGAATGTCAAACCTTGCCACTAGTGGAGAGCAGGTCTGACCCCTCCCACAAAAAGCTAGAATGAAGTCATGTGGAAGGGGCACATGGGTGCCCCAATGTGGTGTTGTTGGCATCCGTCAATCTTGAGAGACAATGGAGTGTGCCACCAGGACTGAACTCAAACCACTGGAGAATCGCAGCATGTGGTGTGGCTACAGGGACCCATAACTTGTAACTGCTCGCTCCTTCATTGTTTCTGCTGTATCAGCAACACCGAAGTAACCCCTCCAAGGCGCTGGCCTAGGTGTATGGAGGTCCTGGGCTGACACACAGCCCATCTTGGCCTCACTGATGCTGTCGGAAGGAAAGCAAAGCAATACATTTGGCACCAGCTTGGCTGCCAGAGTTGCCAGAAGGAGGCATACAAGGTGCCATCTGTCAGGAGTCCAGTTCCTGGCTTGATAACACAGTGAGCGTTGTTAATTAAAAAAGATGCTTGTTTTGTCAAAAGAAACAGATCGCTCCAGATGGCTTTAAGATAGCCTCCGCCATCATCAATCAAGATGACCCTTCTGAGGATTGCTTCTGGCGTGACCAGCAGCAACTGAACTTTCGCTTCATTCGTCTTTCGTTTTGCTTCCTATCTTGCAGCCCTCCCATTCGTCGAGACCTCAGACTGAGTGGGTCAGCTCCCTGCTCTACCCCATTCTCTGAGAGGCTGTCTCTTAACTCTTTTCCACCTGTTTGTGTTTCTGGTGAGCTTTGCCCACGTCCAACTTGCTCTCCGCCATTCCCTTATCAGCCGGCATTCCTAGGGGCGGGGGAGTTGGCACTAGCCGATGATCATCCTGCATGGCAGTTAACCCTCTCTGTTCCTGGCTGCTTTCTTCAGTTGGCAGTAATCCTTCCCTGGGAGCTGGTTCATTCATGACACCATCCAACCATCCTAGGGATTCCACTATGGATTTGGGTAGCGTTTACTTCTTCCAGAGATGTCCCACAAGTTGGCAGGCATGGAGTTTCCCTCGGGGTTCACTCCCAAAGCCTTTCTCATGAATGTGTAGAGCCACAAGGCAGCAGAGATTTAGAGTCAGAGTTTTCCTTCTCCTAGAGGGGCTACTTTCCCATCCACTCAGCTGTACAGTGGTACCTCGGGTTACATACACTTCAGGTTACATACGCTTCAGGCTACAGACTCCACTAGCCCAGAAATAGTACCTCGAGTTAAGAACTTTGCTTCAGGATGAGAACAGAAATCGTGCTCCAGCAGCGCAGCAGCAGCAGGAGGCTCCATTAGCTAAAGTGGTGCTTCAGGTTAAGAACAGTTTCAGGTTAAGAACGGACCTCAGGAACGAATTAAGTACTTAACCCGAGGTACCACTGTACACACAGCGAATCAGAGGGGGTAAAGTTGGTATAAACATCTTTGCCATCTGCTCCTCCTCAGCTGCATTTGGCACACCAACCCAGCTGTCCATGCTATGGACTGTTTGGGCTTCAGGGGAGTTGCTGCCTGGGAAGTCTGTGTAGATTTTGCGGGGAGGGGATCATGCTGTTTTAAAGCTTAGCACTGGCCTGTTTGAAAGCCCCTTTAAACATTCTAAACAGTTTTTGGAGATTAAAGGAGCAGCACTGGGAGGGGGAAACCATTGCTAAAATGGAGATTCCTCCCCTCCATTTTAAAAGTGGTTTCAGAGGAAACCACTCTCCTCTCCTGGAGTTAGGGACATTCTCACCACCCATAAGTTGATGGGCCATGAAGGGCATGTCTTGCTCCAGCAAAAGAACAACCAGGAGCTCACTTAAAGTTCCTGATTGTTACTTTGAAGCCCTGCCCTTAACTGCTCCAAACACATCAGGTACGGGGGAGGGGAGGTATGGCATGCCCCAAACAGCCTTGCAGACCAATTGGGGAGGCCAAGTGATCAAAGTTTGCCTCCCCCCCTCCCTGGACTAGAACGAGCCTTGAGCCAGGCAGGTTTGCCCAAGTTTGGAACCAAAGGTGAACAAGCATCGGCCACTTCCTAGAACAAGCTGCAGAACTTATTTCCAGCTGCAGAACTTATTTCAAGCTGCAGAACTTATTTCCAGCTGCAGAACTTATTTCAAGCTGCAGAACTTATTTCCAGCTGCAGAACTTATTTCCTGCTGCAGAACTTTAGGTAAGATAGCAGAACTTTGCTGCAGAACTTTAGGTAAGATACCTTGACCCTTTTACCCAACTTATTTTCCTTACGTCTTCATTCTGGTGGTGGTGAATTGAAAAGACATTTAACAGTGCTGAAGGCATAGATGTTTCAAGAACAGATGTTTCAAGAACCTTGCTAGATAAAAGGGACAGAAGTTTCTCATTTTGGCTCTGGAGCAAAGTGTGCTTATTGAAAGCCCCAAATCTGGTCATAAAATCGGTCTGCATCTATATTCTGAGTTTAAAAAGAAGGGTGCCAAATGCTTTTTGATATTCTTGTTTGGGCTTAAAGGCCTCATGTGGAGAGATGTCGCAATTCCTGACAAATGCAATTGTACTTTTTACCACAAGTTGAAAAAAATAACAACCCATATTTCTCAGAGACAATATGTATGTAGACACATGCAGAGCCATGATGGGAACCTTTAATTTCATATATTTATACATTTGAACTTCAACTTGTTCTTCAGGTTCTTCTGGAAAATAGACTTGGGCCTAATCCTCTGTTTTTAACAGCAGGAAGTGCTAATTGTTGTGGGTTAAAATGCAGCTCTAGAAGCTACTTCTTAGTGACCCTCACTTGGTTCATGAGAATATTGCAAAAATAATAATAGATATCCATAAATTCCCATAATACCCCACAAAAGCAGTCCGTAGCAGAAGCACATTCGGCAACAGAGTACTGAAGTAAAGTCTTCATAATGCACTGCGGCCTGACAAGAAGGGGTTTATAGAACTAAGACTTCAGGGTGAAAAGTCTTTCCCACTTCCTTTGCTAGTTTTTAACTTGCAGAATGTCCTTAAAGGTGAACTTAGATCCTTGCCTACAGTTTAAAAATTCAGCCATATGATCAGCCGTGAAGGGGGGGAAATGTTTCTGTTCATGGACCACTGCATCTTCACGGAACTCAAAACTTTCACTGACTGAGCCTTTATCCAGAGTTTGTTTATATTGTTTCCATCCCTGTCATTCACATATCAAACCACAAATAGAGCATAGACTGCATGCAATGGGAACATTTCAAAGTTTTATATTCTTTAAGGGGGGAGAGACAGGATGAAGAAAGAAGGCAAGCTTTTTAAATTTTATTTTCAAACATGCATGCTGGCTGTTTTTCTCCTAATAGCTTGTTACGAACTATTAAGATAAAGCTATTATGGGTGGAATTGTGCGAAGGTAACTGCTTGCCAGATAGAACGGCCACTCATTTCCTCCCTCTGCTCTGTTTAAGGGTTGTCCCAAGAAGATTTGGGGAAGGTATGAAGGTAACATAGGGAGACCACTGGCTCCCACAAGCACAATTTGGTTGAATCAAGCATTAAAAATAAAAATAATGAATGTTGTTAGGTGAATGCATCACCAATATTCCTGTATGGTTTTTGGAAAAGGGCTAAAATGTTGATTTCTCTTTCTTCAATATATTTCAAGTATTTAAGTTATATACAACATTCTTCCAGGATTTGGACATGGGGCAAATAAGCAAATTCTATTCCTGTTTCCATTTTTCTTCTGAGTTTGCTGAAACCCTACTTGCAGTTGCTGAGCCTTCCATCAATAGAAGCCAACTACTATTAAAGACCAGGACTTGCCAATCAGAAGGTCGGCGGTTCGAATCCCCGCGATGGGGTGAGCTCCCGTTGCTCGGTCCCTGCTCTGCCAACCTAGCAGTTCGAAAGCACGTCAAATGCAAGTAGATAAATAGGTACCACTCCGGCGGGAAGGTAAACGGCGTTTCCGTGCACTGCTCTGGTTTGCCAGAAGCGGCTAAGTCATGCTGGCCACATGTCCCAGAAGCTGTACGCTGGCTCCCTCGGCCAATAAAGTGAGATGAGCACCGCAACCCCAGAGTCGGCCATGACTGGACCTAATGGTCAGGGGTCCCTTTACCTTTACCTTACTATTAAAGACCAACTAAGCAAGGAACACTTGACACCTGAACACCCCTCATTGGCACTAGTTATGAAGCCTGAATATCTTAGTGAAGTCAGCTCCATTTAGACTGAAAGGCACCTAAATCAGAAGAAGAAAATCATGTGGTAGGGTTGTGTGTGTGTGGCCATTAATTGATCTAGAAGTGAGGTTGAGAAAGCTTAATGTAGCTTGAAGTTTTAATGCTCGGGTAGATCCTTGCTGTCCACAAATATTGTCCTACCAAATCCTGAGAGATCCACCTGGGCTGTTTTTTCTCCCAGCGGTCATGCAATGTGAAAGAAATACAAGAATGTCTGATTCTATGGGATAATTATAAAAGTAAGTAGTACTATCCTGATTTATTTCAATACAGCAGCATCAAGTGTTTTCCATTTACACAGCAAAGTTTGGCAGAAGTCTGAGAGTTAAACACCAGACATTGTCTGATGTGTTTAAAAAGATGCTACGAAGTATCTTCCCATCCAAACCTCACAATCCAACAGTTTATGCAGAACGAATTTGTGAAAACATGAAATAAAATATGGCCTTTCAAAGTGTAGGCCTTAGTAAGATTCCTAATTAAAGCACAAAGCAGAACTTAAGTAAAGGGCTATATATCATTTCCAGCTTTCCCTTTTATCACTACATTTTTCACTCGGTTCCAGCCAGGATCTGAAACAACAAGCTGTCAGAATAAAAAGTGACACTGTGCACTAAAGAGAAATTGATGCAAGGATTGATTTAATAACGTGATACTCCTGTGTCATTTTCTCAGACTTTATGAAAGACTTTGGGCTTTGGTTCAGATAAAATTCTTGCAATTAAGGGAGGAAAAGTAACTTTCTGCCTGCTTATATGCTCAAATCATTCAACTCTTTCAAGGGAGACAGCAAATCTGCATGTCCATGATGGTGCTCTGGATTAGGACCGTGATGGCCCCTTCAACATCCCTACCAGGAAACTGCAGAACGTCAGTAAAGACCCCCCAAAATCTGGGGGGAATTCTATTTATCAAGTTAGGATCAAAACGTAGTCCATAGTTTCTCACAAAAGGAATGGAGAATTATTTCAAGTTGTAAGAGTAGAACAGCAGTATCCAACCTGGTGCCAACCAGATGTAAACCTACAACTTACGTGGGGGATATGTTCCAGGGGATAGTGCCTAAAGCCAAAATCACGTATGGTCAAACCACACTAGCTGCAATGGCAGGGGGTATTGTCTCCCCCCCCTTCTGCCCCCCTTTTAATTCTTTTTGCCAAGCATGTAAACCTGAATGCACACAAGTTAAATGTTCATAAGCTTACTGTACTCTACACTTTGGGGCATGGGTGGTGCTGTGGTCTAAACCACTGACCCTCTTGGGCTTGCTAATCAGAATGTCGGTGGTTCGAATCCCTGCGATGGGGTGAGCTCCCGTTGCTCTGTCCCAGCTCCTGCCAACCTAGCAGTTTGAAAGCATGCCAGTGCAAGTGGATAAACAGGTACCACTGCAGAGGGAAGGCAAACAGTGTTTCTGTGCACTCTGGTTTCCGTCACAGTGTCCCATTGTGCCAGAAGCGGTTTAGTCATGCTGGCCACATGACCCGGAAAGCTGTCAATGGGTGAATGCCATTGGCCTGAGAAGCGAGATGAGCGTCGCAACCCCTCTTTCACTGGACATAACCATCCAGGGGTCCTTTACCTTTACCTTACTCTGCACTTTAATTCCAGGAATTGGGGAACATTGTGTTCTGTTGAGGGTCACATTCGGTCAAGGGAAATTCATAGTAAGCCACATGCCAGCAGTGGCCAGGACCAGAGACACAATTCAGTGAAGGTTGAAGCATTCCTGGATTGCATTTCTTGGTTCATTGTTTAATGTTACATCCTTCTTGTCAGGACGACATATGTATACCGTAAAATGCATTTTTCTGACTCACTGTCTAGAGAACAGAGTGATGCTAAGGGCCATCCTAGATTTGATGTTTGCATTGTACGGTGCCTGTGTCTCTACATGTGTTGCTGGACTTCAATTCCTATCCACAGTAGGCCAAGAGTCAGAGATGATGGGAGCTGTGCTATTGCAATGTATAGGAAGTCACAGATTCCCCACCCATTTTATCAAATGGTTGGCATGGGAGGGTGGAGTCAGGAAGGGGTCTTTAACGTTTTATCACTACCGCTATCTCAGTTGGTCTAATGATATCTGGCAGACAATCAAGCCCTGATAAGAAGTAATAACTCTCCGGGAGTTTTATGTACATACGGCTTCTCGCCTGCTCACATTTACAATACAGTGGTACCTCGGGTTAAGTACTTAATTCATTCCGGAGGTCTGTTCTTAACCTGAAACTGTTCTTAACCTGAAGCACCACTTTAGCTAATGGGGCCTCCTGCTGCTGCTGCACCGCCGCAGCACGATTTCTGTTCTCATCCTGAAGCAAAGTTCTTAACCTGAAGCACTATTTCTGGGTTAGCGGAGTCTGTAACCTAAAGTGTATGTAACCTGAAGCGTATGTAACCTGAGGTACCACTGTAGTTGGTCAGTCTGAAATTTCGCCCCTCCCACAGCAGGAAGGATGCCAAACCCACCTTTCCCCTCTTGCCCTTCCGTTGCCATCTGATCTTATCCAGACTCCTAGCCTGAGGACTGTGAAGCTGGCTTGCCCCCTCCCCACTGCTACTCGACCCAGACTCTGACCTCTGCTTATCTGCTGATTGCCTAGCAACACTCTGGCTGCCTTCCAATTCTTCTTCATCTTGAGAGTTAATAGAGTTTTCCCCAGAAGGGGGGTTGAACTGCCCTTTCTCGACTCTGACAGCCAGCTCTCATCTGCAAAGTCCACGTTTGTTTAGTTCGATTTCCGAGTCTAGCTCTTCTCCTGTGCTCGGGGGGGGGGGGGGAGCACGTTCCTGACAGTTGGATTCAGTCCCTCCACCATGCTGCTGTTTACAATGGCTTGGACCGGAGGACAAATGTTGGCCATCCCTGACATTATAATATAATTAATAGTCTCATACCTGACATTGTTCAGGAACTCAAGGAGCCAAAATTTCAGTGAAGTTGTGAAATCAGCTGTTAAAATCAGAGCAGTTTTGAAAAGGTCACTCCACCCTCTGGATTCAAAATAGTGTCCAATTGTATCGAAACATAGATGAAAATGGAGTTACTGCTCTCAGGAACCACCATACAAAAGTTGATTGTGGTAACTTGAGAGGTGTCCAGATGCCTAGCAAATAAACAACTTCTCAAAATATAAAGTAGATAAATACAGAACTTCTTAGCTGTCTCAAGATAATGATGATGATCATCACCCTGCGCATTCAAAACTAACCTGCCAAGGAGAATACCAGCTGGAACTGTATGAAATAATCAGAATGAGAAATACTTGAACCAGCATTTCTGAAAGAGAATCAGGAGGAGGATGAATTGCAAAGGGGGAAATGACAAGATTTAGTGTTTCATGAGATGAATGTCGTCCACGGGCCACTTGCTGCTTACTTTAGTGCAATCATCCTATTGTGGAATGATTGATCATGAAGAAATAGAATACGCCAGAATGAGGCACTGTAAATACCAGCCTACTTTCTCAGTTTGCATATCTTTGGAGATAAATTAAGAGATCTACTGCTGTAGATTGAGGGCTGGGGACAAGGTGGGGGGGACGGACATCACAGTGAGCAACTTCATTTGAAAGCAGAACTAGAAAACTTCAGGCCTGTGGGCCAATTGTGGCCCCAAGCCTCTCTCACCGCGACACGGTGAGCTCCTGTTGCTCGGTCCCAGCTCCTGCCAACTTAGCAGTTCGAAAGCACACCAAAAATGCAAGTAGATAAACAGGTACTGCTCCGGTAGGAACGTAAACGGCATTTCCGTGCACTGCTCTGGTTTTGCCAGAAGTGGCTTAGTCATGCTGGCCACATGACCCAGAAAAACTGTCTGCGGACAAACACCGGCTCCCTCGGCCTGTAAAGCGAGATGAGCGCCGCAACCTCAGAGTCGTTTGCAACTGGACTTAACTGTCAGGGGTCCTTTACCTTAACCTTTAAAAGGTGGCGGCAGGGGGGACGGACATTATAGTGAGCAACTTCATTTGAAAGCAGGACTAGAAAACTTCAGGCCTGTGTGCCAATTGTGGCCCCAAGTCTCTCTATCCGGCTATATCTCATTTTCCCAGGCTGCATTCAACACTGCTTTATACCCTCCTTGTGTATTTTTGCATGGTTGGAGTGTGTCCCTGAACCCTGATAATACCTTTTGCCTGCAAGGGTGGAGAATAGAGAGGTTGAAAATTGCTTGCAACATCCACATTTGCTGCTCTGCCTGTTTTTGCAGAACATTGGCCTATGGCCCCTGGAACGTTGCCCAGATGGAAATGTGGTCCCATGGGATAAAAATGTTTCCCATCCCTGCTTTAAAGGTGAAGAATAAACCCTTCCTCAAGGCCATATGGACTGGGTGGTCTGACATGTGTCCCATCAAACCCAAAGCATATATCAAGGCCTTCCATGACCTCTTGGCATAGATGTTGAAGTCCCATGCAGCCAATGAAGCTGGGACATTTATTGTGCTCCTGGTAGATGCAAGGGTGAGTTTGGCGCGGTTGCTTGTAAGCTGTGCACACCTGATTTAGAGGGGAATTCATGTTGCTAGTGTGCTTTTTAAAAGGTCTTTCCTAAATGACACCTTGCATTTTTCAGCCTGTACAGTATCTCTACTGATGCTGCCCAGTTGGGTCTATTCTGGTCAAATGAGGAAAAGCCTAATTAGTACTCCATATGCTCAGTTTCATTTCTAAATTGAAAAACCGGCTTCATGCCACTGCTACAGCCACTGTTGTCATCTCCTGCTGCTGTGGATGGCACTGAAGCAGACAGTTTCCTCAGTCTCCTGCACTCAAGAATGTGCATCCCTGAAACATGCTCTGCTTCCTGAGAAATTTTTGGCAGGCACAAAAGCCGTCCTGCTCCAGTTTGCTTGAGAAAATATCGTTCTGGAAATAAGCAACAGTAACAAAACAAGGATTTACCCTCTAGAAAGAAGCTTATTCGTTTTGCCAGTGTATTCTTTTCATTGTCTAATTTGACTGAATGGGAGGAGACTTTAAAATATAAGTCTTCATTAATGGGCACATTTCTGCAAGCAATTTCCATTAATATAAGGCATTCTGTGTGGTATTTTCACCAGTATATTCATTTTTATGCACGTTTCGTCTCATATATGCACTTTCGTAAAGATTGCTTAGCTGACGGACTGCATCACAGAATTTCACAAAGTGTGAATTTTGAAGGATAGCTGTGCTTCAGTTTGCATATTGTTTTGGAAAGTCCTCATTTGATAGAGCCAGCTT